AGAAACTGTCTTTAAATAATGACATATTTGAGGCAAACTCTGATAGTGATCACCAAAGTGAGACAAAAGAAGATACTTCCCCAAGGAAGAAAAAGAAAAAATTAAGGCAGAAAGAAGAGAAAAGCCCAGATGATTTGAAAAAAAGAAAAGGAAAGACTGGAAAACTAAAAGATAAGTCCAAATCAGAGCTGGACAGCTCCTCTGAAAGTTTGGTTTTTGATTTAAGGACAAAGAAAAGAATTTTGGAAGCTAAAGAAGAATTAAAGGATGCCAAAAAGCCCAAAAAGGATGAATTAAAGGAACACAGGGAATTAAAGAAAGTTAAAAAGGCTGAAATAAGAGATTTAAAGACTAAAATAAGAGAAGATCCAAAAGAGAACAGAAAAACAAGAAAGGAAAACTACGTTGAATCTCAGCTGCAGTTTGAGTCAGGTGTACTTAATGGTTCCCCTCTTCAGGAAGATGACTGTGAAGAGTTACATTCTGACAACAGAGAAGAGAAACAAAAAAATAACAGCCCAAAAGATAAAACAGGTGAAGATGAGGTGCAAGACAAGCTTTTTGACAAGCAGCTGGATGCCACTGGAAGTGGTGATGAAGATGCTGATGGTAAGACCAAGAGGAGGAAAAAGAAGCTGAGGAAGAATGAGGAGCCAAAAGAAGGCCTAAAGCTAGAAAACAGTGTCTTTTCAGAGAAGAAAACTCTACCTAAAAAGCAGAAGAATCAAGAGAGAGGCAGGACTAACACTAACCTAGAAAAGCTATTGCCACTGTCATCTGTCCAGACACAAAGGAGTACCCGGGCAGCAGGGGAAGAGCAAGGCCTGCGGTCATCAGACTCAGCTGAGGAGGTAAGGGCAACTGGGAAAACCTGGATATTGTAGAATACCCATGTAGACTAGCACTGGACCAAAGGGTCAGGAAGCTTCACAAAGAATTAGAAGGACATAGCTGGCTAAGAATGTTTGGTGGTCAGAGTCATTGAGTGGTGTGACTGCCTGGGCTGTTCTTGAGTGCTGAAGAGCGTCTGTCTCCAGTTTGTCTCTTAGTCTCTGCCTTGTTTTCCTCTAGACAAACCATGACTAAGGAATCAAGAGTTAGTTGGTTGACAAGTCAAATTTTTTAGCTATGTTCAGATGATTATGTAGCATTAGGTGGAAAAATCTTACAACTTCATTAGCTTATTGTATTATATTTTCACATCCCACTTGACATTTCCCCTGTTGTCTTAAGAATATATCACTTTTTTTTTAGATCACTTTTTACTTCAGTAATACTTGTACAGTGTACATTGTTAATTTTTTTTTTTTTTAAGATTTATTTATTGGGGCTGGGGAGATGGCTCAGTGGAATAAGCGCTTCCCTGACAAGCACAAGGGCCTGAGTTCAATCCCCGATTCTGGAAAAAAAAAAAAACTTATTTGGTACAGGGTCTCACTACATAGCTTGGACTCCTCCTGTTTTAGCCTCCCCAGCACTGGGATTACAGGCGTGTCACCACACTCTGGTTCTGTTGTGTGGCACCGCACAGCTATCTCCCTGGCCCATTTATTTCTTAGAAAAGATTTAATAGCTTTTCCCATTATAAAAATTTAGATTTATATAACTTTTCAAAATGCAGATATTGGGCTGGCTAATTAGCTCAGCAGATTAAAGCCCCTGCAAGCAGGGGCCTGGGATTTTTTTAATCCCCAGATTTGCTGTGCCAGCCTTGAGGCGTGTTGATACCACAATTGAGACTGGGCGTGGTGGCACGCACCTGTAATCCTAGCTCTTGGGAGGCTGTTAAATAGGCAGATCACTACAAGTCTGATCTAGTAGTGAGACCCTGAACACCCTGTAGACCCATCCCTAAAATACAAAAAAAAAAAAAAAAAAAAACCACCAAATATTTTCATGTTGTGAAAGGTCATACACAATTTTTATCAAGGACTACAAAGATCATTTTTCATCTGTTCCCAGTTTGCAGACTTGAAGGAAATAATTTTGCCTTTTTTGGTTTGTTGTTTTTTTTTTTTTTTTCCTGCAGAACCAGGGATTGAAGTCAGCCCCTTGTGCTTGCCAGGGAAGTGCTTATTCCACTGAGCCATCTCCCCAGCCCCAGAAATAATTTTAAAAGGGTGAAAGCAATCTACATAAAGATACTTTGGAGGTGTTACCCTCTACAGTAAAAATTGTCAGCTAATAGGGAAAAAGTTAAGAAAACATTGGTACATCAGAATGGGGCTATAATAGCAATTGGAACATTAGGAGGTCAGTTTTGGAAAAACAAAACTATCCTAAAGAGATCAGGGAGAAAAAAGACTAAGGGAAATGATTTTGGAATTTTATTTTATGTAACATCCTGTTTTTGTAGTAATGGGAATTGAACCAAGGGCCTTGACGCTGAGATACATCCCCAGTCCTTTTTATTTTTTATTTTGAGGCAGGGTTTTTCTAAGTTACCCTGCCAGTAGTTGAACTTGAAATCCTGCCTCAGCCAACCAGTATTGGACTTAAAGCTGTGCCCCACAGTGTCCAGCTGTAACTGTATTGCGAAATTCTGAAGTTAGTGGAGAAATTTGTCTTAATTTTTTTTTTCAGTATATTTTAATGCAGAGAAAATCAACAGGGGGCTGGTGAGATGGCTCAGTGGTCTAAAGCACCTACTTAGAAGAAGCTTAGCAAAGCACAGGGAGCACAGTTCAATCCCCCAGCACCACATGCCAGCCAGCCCCGCCCCCTGGTGGGCTGAGCTGGCCACACACACACACACACA